TTTTAAACTCTTCCCACACTCTTGCAATATTCCAAACAATGTTTCTAAACTCTAAACGCTCTAAAACAGCACAGAATGTCACGATTTCCATCTCTCTGCCTCTGCTGCCTTTTGACACCTGCAAGAGTCCTTGACCACGCCCACTTTCCCGCTCTGCATGGGGAACAGCTGATCAGCTGCAGCAGGACGTTTATGCAGTGTGGGCTGCACATAGGCGCAGAAGGTGCTAAATAATTTAAAATAATTTATTTTAAATAAAAATTCCATGCTCAACCATCAATCAGCCAATTGTGTGTCATGTCCACGATGAAGCGACTCCGCGATAAACAAACTGCGAAGTAGCAAAGGACTACTATAAATGTTGCAAAAGCCTGTTTCAAAAGAGCTAACTGCTAGCTAAAAACAGCACAAGCTTAGTTAAAAGCTAAATGTATCAAAAGACTAGGATAACAGAACAGTAGTTAAAAGCTAAAAATAGCACACAAAGACACAAACAGACTCCTGAAAACTCCTGAAGCTGATGTCAGGGAGGAAAACCATTTTTAAAAACACTGAAGAGATCTTCATGCAATTCTCTGGAGGGAATATTTTATAAATGTTACAGAAAACAAAAGTCAAAGCACCTTTTTCCTTAAACAAACGTTTTAACATTTGAATAGATAAAATAGCTCAATGTATGCAGAAGCAGAGGGAGTACAAATATCAACGTACAACCCCCCCACCCCCGTGCGATCGCCGAGTCAGTATTCGCGCTATTAGTCTACACATGATCAAATCAGCTCATTAGTTCTGTTTGATGTGTTGCTGATGTAGTTACAAGAAAATAACTTTTATTTTCTCGTTCATGTGAGGGGAGCGGCCCAGATCAGAGGCTGAAATCCTGCACGTCTTCCAAAAGCAGAAATCCAGAATCGTCTCCCCAGCTTTTATTCTCCAGCCCTAATGAGGCAGCTAAGCGTAAAGTCTGTTTCTCCTCTCATGTGATCTGAGCAGAAATCGAGGGAATATCACACACACTCAGTTTTGTCACTTCTTCAGCTTCGCCTGAAACACAAAACAAACAGAACGCAACACTTGTGTCATATTCTCTAAAACCCTTTAGTTTGTTTTCAGGCGTTTTTCTAAAATCCTGTTCGACTCGTGCGTGATTTCTTCATCACGTCTGAGGACCCTCTTCATCCGCTTGATGCCGAGGAATCAGATGCATTTGTTTACGCAGATCTACTGCAACTCAGAAATGAACGCTTTCTTTCTGTGGAAAGTTGGTTTCACCATAAAAAACAAGATTTTCAAGCTTTGACTGATAACTGTGTAAGACGGCATCATGCGATCAACAGTGTGAACTTCTACCAACGTTCGCTTCTCAATAATTTACAGTCTGCATGAAATAATGAAGAACTTGAACAGAATTCTGAGCAACAACAGTAAGTATGATATGAAACGTGAAAGCTGCAGAACATCAACTTAACAGGTAAGTCATTGCTAATATTTTATTTGCACAAATCTGCATATAGACTAAAATATTTATAGTCTGCTTCCATTAAAAGCGGGTGACATTGTAATTGTTCATTTGTCAGTAAAATATTGATAGTTAAACGTCTATAACTTATAACCGTCATTTTTTTATGTATGGAGCTAAAACTTAGTGTGGTAATAGATGAGAGTCGTCCCCAACACATAGTCTGAGCATTAAATGGTTGGTTTTTGGTTAAGTTCAATGAACCTTTCAGAAAGTTAACTGTGTGTTTAAAAAAAGTCCTGATGTTAGCTCAATCATCCAGGTACATAAATCACAAAAATGTTAAATCACGTCATCTGGAATGATTCTTCTTGGAAGAAACGATTTGTCTTTTATCCGAAAGACTTCGTCAGTCTGAGGCCTGCCAACCAGATCTGTCGTATTAAGTAGCACGTTACTGACGTGTTTCAAACCAGTCTGCTGTGAAGTTCCCAGACACTGGCTTTACACATGGAAAATGGAGGACCATCAGTCTAAAACAATCGATCATCAGTGCATAACAATCAAATGTTATAGGAAAAATGGCTGCTTACTTCTCACCAAACCAGCCCAAGGACAACCTGGACAAAATGGTTAAGAAGAAAAAAAAAAAGTACTGTATTTTTCGCCCTATAAGTCGCAGTTTGTTGCATAATTTGCATGCCTGCGACTTATACGTCGAAGCGACGTATTTATAGATTTTTCCATATTTTTAAACCAATTTTTGGCTGAGATATGACCGTTTTCAGTCATTCTGACTGAAAAGATTGAACACTACCATTTTCAGATGCTAGATGGCAGTCAAGTATTATGGCATGTCATTGTGCCATGCAATCAGTAAAAGTGGCCATTAATGGCACAGTCGGCTTGCCATAGCCTACCACCTTCGTCCAGCTCACTTGGAGCAACTATCAAATCAGCTTCATGTCGCTGCGCCACCCTGGCGAAATGCAGCTGATTTGACCGTTGAAGTGCATTTATTACGTAAACGTTAATTTATTATATTTATTTATTAACCTTTATTTAACCAGGCAAATCCCATTGAGATCACAGATCTCTCTTGCAAGGGAGGCCTGGACCTGAAGGCAGACCAACATGCATGTTTTTAGTCTGTGGGAGGAAACCGGAGCACCCGGAGAAAACCCACGCAAGCACGAGAAGAACATGCAAACTCCACCCAGAAAGACCCCAGGTCCAACCGGGGATTGAACCCAGGACCTTCTTGCTGTGAGGCAACAGTGCTAACCACTGAGCCGTTGTGCTGCTAAAGTTCAACCGAGACTCACCTTTGCTATAAGGTCGAGCAAACAAATAACTGTTTTTAGGTGATCATCTTGTTAAATTTTGAAGAAATGCACGGCGAGTCCTCCCATGCACGTGCTTACAGCTGATGCAGCTGATTTAACCGTCAAAGCGCATTTATTGAGGAAAAGTTAGACTGAGACACACCTTTACTATAATTTCGAGCAAACAAATACTTGTTTTTAAGAGTTAATCTTGTTAAATTATTGTTAAAGTCCTCCTGTGCACGCTCCCGTGGCTACCGTTTGGCAGCCGATCGATTTTTGGCACAACACTGGCCCACATTTCCGGGTTGTTAGCGGTGACGTGCAACAAACGTGACGTGTCAGCGATCACGCATAATAGATGTGATTTATATGGCGAAGCGATGTATTTATGGATTTTTCCACTTTTTCATTCAACCTTTATTTAGACAGGTTAATCTCATTGAGCCTCGAAGACATTTACAAGAGAGACCTGATTTCAACAGAGTGATGACAACAACGGACAACGGCAACAATAGACAGTCATAAAAGAGGCATACAGATATTTTTTTTTGTTACAAATTAAAATAGCACTTTATTAGACATATTTGGACTGATGCGACTTATAGGGCGGAGCAACGTGTAC